ATTTTAATGCTTTGTTGTTCAACTTTTCACCCATTGGTAACTTACAATTAACTTTAGTTGACACAATGAATTTTCCAACGTCTTCTGTTAGAAATGTATTCTAGAAACAAATCAAGAATCCAAATTTTATGAGGCTGGTTAGGCAATAGTTTGATTTCGGACATACATTCAAACTGAAATGACACATTATTACAAAAAATAAAAAGTAATAATATAAATAATAAAACGTCATTACACAACATTTTTGTTAAAAAGAATAATGACATATGATTATATTGACAATAAATGTGAAATTATGAGTAGTTCATTTCATCATCTGCTTTCCATTGATGATTGACACTAGTTATTTTCCAAGCTACAAGCAAGAACATCAACTCAAATGCACAAAACTCAAATAAGAATCTATATATATATATAACTAGTTTTTGACCCGTGCATTTGCACGGAAAATTATACGATAGTGGAATAAAAAAAAGAAAAAAAATTGCAAAAATCATAAAATGATCGTTGATAATAAAGTTAAGCAATAAAATCTAAATCAAAATATTATTAAACACTTCTTTATATACAACGTTCATGGTTTTTCTATCGTCAAAATCTTCATCACCACAAATCATTATCTTCAGACCCCTCCGATTCGTGACTCTAGATAGTGCCACATACAACTGTCCATGACTGAATACAGGATTCTTCAATAGTAATCCGACGTGGGACAGTGACTGGCCTTGACTCTTGTTGATAGTCATAGCATATGAAACCATGAGCGGAAATTGTCTGCGCTGAAATTTGAATGGTACCCTCAAATCGGATGGTATAATTGTGAGCCTATGAATAAGCACCTTGTCACCAGCTCTGGCACCGGTTAAAATCCTGCATTCGAGGACATGGCTGCTGAGCTTAGTGATAGCCAACCGTGTACCTGTTGACATCAAAACTCGGAAAACAAAAGCATATCAGTCAAATTTGTACAAAGATAAAAGGAAATGTAGATGACAAATTGAATTTTGATGAACAGTACCGTTGCACAACCCCATAGAGTGATCAATGTTTCTGAGAAGCATCACTGGAGTGCCGACCTTAAGGTGCAGTTTATGATTCGGAAGCCCAGAGCACTTGATCCCATTGAGAAACTCAGGAGTGTGAAGATCCTGAAGAGAATCATATCCAGCATCTGACTTGCACGGGGTGTCTGAACTCAAGTAAGTCCTTCCCTCGGATGAGTTCAGTGAGCTCATGTACTCGTTAACGGACTCAACCACATCAAGTGTGGGGGCGAGTATGGCTCTGTCCTTCAGATAGCTAAGATCATCACATGCACTTCTGAACATCGGGTAGGTATTCTCAACAATAGTAGCAATAGGATCCCCTTGTGAGTGTAGAAGAATATCGTCGGGGATATCGATATCGACACAACCGTCGTTCGATTCACCGACTGTACCGTCGCCGATGTTTGCAAGCCACTCAGAGAAGCTCCTCAACTCATCGTACTCATTGCCCCCACCAAGGCTTCGAAGCCTCATATTCCGAGTCAGTCTCAGAACGATACAATCGCGCCACAACTTGGATGAATTGATGGTCGCATTAACTATGTCGCTTCGACTGCCTTTAGGGACAACGGGCAGTATCTGTCTGAAATCCCCACCTAACACAACACACTTTCCGCCAAATGGGAGATTTTTCCTCGATGGATCAACTGCTTCCATTAAGGCTCGCAAGGTGTTGTCAACCGCCTGGAAGCAATATTTGTTCATCATCGGGGCTTCATCCCAAATGATCAACCGACATCGTATGATCAGTTCGGCTAAAGGACTCTGCTGACTGATATCGCATGTAGAGCCTTCCACTGGGTTTAGTGGGATTCTGAATCGTGAATGCGCAGTGCGTCCGCCAGGAAGCAAAAGTGACGCTATACCGCTCGATGCAACGTTCAACACAATTTCACCTTTGGATCTCAAAGCAGAAGACAACGCCCTCCAGACATACGTTTTTCCGGTGCCGCCGTAACCATAAACGAAAAACATGCGGCCGTAGGTACGGTAGACAGAGTCCATTATCGAGTCATAAACATTGCGCTGCTCATCAGTCATGTTGGCAACCAACTCTTGATTCTCAATAGCGAGTGCACGACGATCGTAATTCAACTCGTCCATCACCAGTCTGTTCGTGGATGCCTCATTACGATCGAGATTAGGAAAAGGCATTGTACCGTATTCCCGAAGACTCGTACCACGCCTGCGCAAAATTTTTTCAACCTCCGCCAATGCCAGATTCTTTACTTCATCATCGCTCAAAACCAATTCTGTAACAACAATATAGAAAGTTTATAAATATAAAGACATAAGAGAAAAAGTAAAAAACATAAGTATGTGACCGTAATTGATTCGTTTACCTGGGTGCTGTAAAACCCTCCGACGATTATATAATATGTCATCCGATAGGTAAGGCCAGCATGATTCCCACACGAACTCCGGTCTACCGAGAGTATCAGAAGACAACAAAGTAGCAAAAAGGTTTCTCAACGAATTGGCACTCGACCACTGGCTTGCCTCGATAATCCCTTCAATGTACTCTTTGTCGTCCTCAACCAGACCGAGGGTATAACACGCGTCACGATAAGAATCGTGTTGTACTCCGTCCAACTTCATATAGTCACGATGGCACGTTGCACCTCGAACAACGTTGAGAAGACACCTCAAGTAATATATGTCACCAGCACCAGGGGGGACGAAGTACAAACGCGCGATACGGTCACTTCCTTTTCTAGGCTCCCAACTGTTGGTTTCCGAGTGCCACGTAAATTTGGTGGGAGCCTCAACGTACGTCAGCTTCCTAGCTTCGGGATACTTCTTGTTAGCTTCCATCCAAGCTAAAAATTTGCTGCCAGCATTTTTATTTTTCTTAACAACTTCATCGATCGGAACCTCATCGTCATAGTAGCACGGATGCTCGTTCTCGAGGTGAAAATTCAAGCGCTCCACTGATGGGTGCTTGTATTGAATCTCATAATCCAACAACCGCCACGCAGCCTCACAAGAGGAAACGTATCGACAATCATAGTACATCTTCACCTCGTCAACTGGCCTGCTTGAAGACTCATCTCCATTAGACGAATGGAAGGTAGCAGTAACGCGATCGTTCCCCTTGTTCACATACTTGAACAAATATTTGATCGACCTCGACTGGTTGCACCACTCCATATTTATGTGCGCGCCGTACTTCAGTAGCAATTTTCTGTTATGAGGCACAACATATCTGTTATCCAAGGGAATGCCATTCTTTTCTATGGTCCTGCCATTATCACGGCGTCTGTATCGTGGATAGCCTTCTTCGTCAAGAGTCGTGGTTTCGGAGAACTTTTTAGGGAAATGTTTTGTGCAACAATTGTTCGCCATACACGGAGATTTCGGGCGAACACTTCCGCAGGGGCCGTGCATCATATGATCTCTAACAGCGGCATAGTAAAATGGATCTGTGGCCTCATCCGGTATTTCCGCGGAAATTATTTTATCTATGCCATCAGTAGTCTGTATCTTGTATTCCTTGGCAAGGAAAAGCAAGATATGCGCATGCGGAAGGCCACGTTTCTGGAATTCAATCGTGTAGATTGCTGCAGTAAATTCATACTTAGGTAAAAAATAATACAATGCAAAAAATATAATAAAAAATATAAATAAATCAATTAAAAAATAGTTTTAAAAAATACCTGCATTCACATCTCCAAACATCTTGTTATGCCGAACATCCCTCATCAATGCATCCAACTTGGTCTTAAAAACCCGACAGATTATATCGGGACGATCCTCTGGGTTGAGGTTCTTCTCAGCAAGAAAACGACTGATTTCGGGCCACTTCGGATTGCAAGTGAAGGTTATGAAAATGTCAGGATAACCGGTCCAACGACAAATGGCCATCGCATCCTGATAGTTTTGAATCATATATCTCGGGCCACCCGTAAAGGATGACGGAATTATAATCCGTTTGCCTTGAGAAGCAGGATCCGTGTCACCGCGCAACACAGCGTCGGATAGTCTGCTGTACAATTCAGTTCTCAAGTTCTTCTGATTAAAACGGATGTATCTGAGCCGAAATCCCTCTACCATTGTATAAGCGTCCACAACAAACTGCTGATACAACCTCCGAGCGGAAAGAATTGACGACAATTCGCAGTCCCGATCGTGCATTCGATATTTGAAGAACTCCAACGGGCTGATAAATTTCCTCGACCTCTCCGTGATCGGTTTTAGGCAGGAGAACGGAATGTCCTCCCTATAACCATCCTCGCCATATGGAAAAAGAATAGGATAATGGAGGGCCAAGTAGGAAGCGTTCAACTCGTTTATCCGCTGCAGACGTCCGCTTCGATTTTCTACTATAATATCCCTGCTGCCCAGAGCATCATCGAAATCCCCAACAACTAAGGCGGCAACTTCAGAAGTGGAGGGTAAATTATAACGCCGACCATCCTTGTTCCTTCTACCGATAAGACGCATCTTAACTTCAATTTGCTGGTGCTGGTCCACCGTCTCCCGCGCCATCCTGAACGACTTTACCAAAACATTGTAATGATCAAGTAGCTCCTTTAAACCACGAACGACATCCTCATCTAGGTTATTTCTTTCAGAACCTCTCCTGACATAAAGAAAAAATTATATTGAATTAGTAAAGATAATTTGAATCGCAATGAAGAAAAAATAAATACTCAATTTTTAATGCTAAAAATATAATATGTATACCTCACAGAAGACAATCGGTTTGATACTTCGTTCTCTGTGTCATAGATGTACAATTGAGCAAATTTCGGAGGCACCCCATGGTCAGGTGGCAAACTACCCATTAAATGGTAGTTCTGACCGTGCAAACGGAAGACGGGTGGGCCGGTTCCCTTGTTTATGTCGGTATCGATTTTCCCCCCATGGATGTAAAGCAGAACATATTGTTGTAAGAC